ACGAATTCTATGTTATTAAATATAGTCGGATTTATGTCGGGTTTGGACTTATTTTCATCAAGAGAATCGCCTATATTTATTCATAACATTTTTAAGAACGTACACGGAAAGGAGTAAAAGTTTAAATTTTTATTCATGGGTGATTCATTCCGTGTGTTGTATTGTAACCCGAGGGCCCGAGGGTCGGTTGCCGGTGGCAAGATAACATCTCTACGCGCCGAGGCTTCGAGCTTCGAGCTTGGAGTGCCAGTGTGCCAGAGCTTCGGGCAGCTTCGGGTCTCCCCTGAGAACATAAATCTGTCATCCGAGCTCGTTCGAGTAGCTCGACCGAGCTTCGAGCTTTTCCCCTACGACTCGAACACATTCGAAAAGCTCGGTTACCCATACTAGTGATGGGTAGTAGAGCCGAGCAGCTCGAGCTTTTTTCGATTCACCAGCTCAGCTCGGCTGGTCAAGCGGACCGAAATGACAGTTTTATGAGGTGACAGCGGAAACACGAGGCTCTGGCACGCGAAGCCTCGGCGCGTAAAGATATTATCTGGCCGCCGGCAACCGACCCTCGGGCTACAGTGTAACACATTTAATGAATCACCGATGCATAAAAATTTAAACTTTTACTCCTTTCAGTGTATTTTCTTAAAAATGTTATGAATAAATGTAGGAGATTTGTATCTTGTTTTTAGCCAATAAGAAAATGAAAATATTCACTGCGTTTCCCACCTATGCGTCAACACACCACCAACGCCACGTCCACCGAGAGACTTTTCGTTATTAGTTTTCTAGTCAGATCAACATTGTCCAGTTACCAGTACACATCAACTCCGATAGACATAGATTCTTGTATCTATTTATTATACAGTATCTCACAACCATAGTACAGACTTGTTGATTGTTTCGTAAATAAATTTATACAGTCCACTTACATCGCATTGCGCTTCAATACACTCAACATCATTAACCCGACGTTTAAGATACGCGGAAGAGTTCGGCAACTAACTTGGAGCAGCTGCGTAAGGTACATAAATAATTACTTTTACTTCAACGAAAAGGCAAAACTGTGATCAATTATCCCACCTGTTTCTGTACCCTTACTGTTGCGAATCGAACTACATAAGTAATACTGAAAATAGTCCGATTTATGTCGGGTTTGGACTTATTTTCATCAGGAGAATCTTCTACATTTATTCATAGCATTTTTAAGAAAATACACTGAAAGGAGTAAAAGTTAAAATTTTTATGCATGGGTGATTCATTCTGTGTGTTTGTATCCCGAGCGTCGATCGCCGCCGGCTAACCTTATAATAACATCTCGCCTCGCCGAGGCTCGTTGCCAGCATTTTTTAGGGTGGAACGATGATGTAAACCGGTTCGATGCGGCTCCAGCCGAGCCGTATCGATTACTTCTGGGCTTCCCATCTCCGGCGGATTTCGTTGGGACTGCTTTCTATATGTATATCATCTGTCTTCACTGTCACACTCGAAACCGATACCATCCGTCTGTAGGGAATGACCGCAGCAAAAATGAAGTAGCCACAGTGAATCCGTTGCACTAGAAAGAGGGAACGTTCATTTTCAGACGAATTCATACATGGGTATGTATATAATATACAGGGTGTCCCAAAAATGTCCTCCGACCCGGAAATGGTGCACTCGGGGGGTGAATTGGAACAACTTTTTCCTTAGCAACAATGTAAACTGAGGCTTCGTTACTGAGATATTAACGAAACACCGCGACCAATCAGAGCG